CTGCGCTGGTGGTGCTCGCTCCCTTGGCCGTCGTCAACCTCAGAGCGACTTATCTGGATCGGGTGATTGCAACCGATGCTTCAGGAGACTGCATGGCGGCCGTGAGTGCTCCTTGCCCAGTTGCTGTGATCAAAGAAGTTGCTAGACATGCTTTGAGAAAGGGTGTCTGGACGAAGCTGCTTCCAAGCTCCCGAGCTCGTGACCGCATGCACGGCCTCCTCGATAGTGATGATGAACTTCCTGCCTAGAGGGTCCAACGATGCGATAAGGACATCGTTTCTACAAATGGCATCGCGCGATGCCTTTTGTTGCACACGGTGTCTTTTGCTATGCGCGCACTTGTTCTTGAGCTGGCCTGTGGTTAGCTCCTCGCTGTTCAGGGTTGAACTCATTGAGGGGGTGGTCTTGAGCCATGGGTTGTGATGTGAAAGAGAAAAAACCCTTCGCTACGCATTCAGAAAAAAGTTTTTTGAAAAATATGCGCAACAATAAAGGAGCTGTACGCGCAATTGTCTTTGGAGCCCCGCCAACGGCTTCCCCAACCACAATTATAATTCCAAAGTTGAAAAAACAAGGGCTCGGGGTGGCACCATTTCTTCAGTGAACATGTGCCCTGTTGGTGCACCAACACAGCAACTTTAGGGAAACAAGGGGTTGAAGTAAAAGAAATATATATATATACACATATAGTATGTGTTGGTTTCACACACAGACACACACCCGCAGAATTTTCATACCCTTTGTTTTGTCCTCGCTTGGTGGCTCAAAGCGGGGGCGCGTCAGGGGCGCCTGGGTGATTGTGGCTCTGGTGCCCCAGGGCTTTCTGTGGGCAAAGACTTTTTCGCAGAAAGCGTCGTGTGCGTTTTGAGTTCACGTTCTTGTTGACAGCTGCCATTTTGCTTTCTAGTGCTTCGCTGCTGTTTCGCGATCGATGGAGCGTGTTATGAATGACGACCATGAAGTTGGCGTTGGTGGGTTGCTGTCCCCCACATGGAGATCAGTACGCGCCTAGGCGGCCTTTTGGAACGATGCTTTGCTCCAGGTGTATGGATTTTTATGGGGTGTGTTGTGGGTGGTGATTTGAGGCCCGGGGCGTATCTCTTGGACACAGAAAGAAGTCGCCGCTCGCATGAAACACAAAAATTTTTGTTCATTGCCGCGGAGGGGCTGTGTTGGCATGACTGCGTGGTATGACAACGAATGGAATACCGGCTCGATCTAAGGAAGACATGGCGCAGGCAATTCTGAAGTCGCTCCCGATTTCGGCAGTCAACCTGATAGGGTCTGAGGACTGGAAGGGAGGCCATTTGTTGATCTTGAAAAGCGATGTGCACCGTCCAACAGCAGACGAATGCGCGGTGAACGCTCCATGGATGGAACCGTTGGTTCAGCGGTACCCGGACCGGGTAGCTTTCAAGCATGTGGGGAGACTGTTTCTTGTTTATTGTTCGTTTACTTGTTTGGGGAAACTGTGGACTGAAGATGCTCAGGTACCAAGTGGCTTTTTCTTGACCGATGTGATGCTCGCCCTCAACGTTCTGTTTGACTGCAAGATGTTGAAACCTCGAGAGCCGCACGACACTGTGCAGTCTGTGGCCGCCAGGGAGGCCACCAGACTGAAGCATCTCCTTTCGTCTCTCCGTTACTTGTGGCGATCGAGTGTCTCAGATGATACTATCTGTTTGCTTTTTGTTGCACGCCCGGCCGCCCTGACACCATCATTACTACTGCGCAGCTTTTTGAAATGTTCCTTAATTGGTCACTTCCAATGAGCCTAGGTAAGAAATCCGGGAACCACAGGCGTGTTACCAGGATGAAGTCTTTCCTCAAACCGTCGCCCAAGAAGAAGCCTGAAGAGGCTGAAGAGGCCTCTTTTTTGCGCCCAGCTTTGAGATGTCTTGGTTGTGTTTCGTGTGCTTCTGAAAGATGTTGGATGTTGGGCGTGTGCGTTTCCTCTCACGATATCTCACGATGCACGGCTAGGCGAATCTGGATGGCAATCCCAGTGCCAATGAGGGTGACGAGGAGGAGGAGGAGGAAGGGCAGGGCGACCAGGGCGTTGTTGTTGAGGACGCGGTGAACGATGATAGTGGTAATGATGAGGGAAACTCTTCACAGTCTGATGAGTCTGATGAACCTGAAGTTGGAAAGCCTACCGAAGAAACAGGTGAGGATTCTCAGGTGGTACCTGCCTCATCTTCTGAAGGTGACCCAGAGGAGGAGCAATGGTCTCAGGTTGGTTCCAGCTGGTTGGCAAAGGCCTACCGGGCACCAGAGTTCAAGTCTCCTGAGCAGGTTGGTGACCGCCCTTCTACCCAATCTACTGAAGAGGATGGGGGAAGCGACAGTGTAGGGACTGATGAGGATGATGAGAGTAGCGATTCAGACGAGGGCATTGATGTTCAGCAGATTTGGCGTGATACCACCCCGGCCTCTCCCATGTCCGCTTCTGATTTGAAGATGATCTCAGCTCGCATGACACTTTATGTTCGCCAGAAGCCCGAGATTTCATCGTTTCTCGGCATTGGTTTTGTGTTGGCTTTGCTCATTGCTGCACTTGTGATTGGAACGTGTGGGTGGTCTTCTGTTTTGCAGCCCGAATGACCCAGGCACCCCAATTTCCTACAGTATATCGAGCACTTGGAAACAAAGCTAGCCACCTATGGGTGGCGCGGTGTCTCTCGTTGGTGTGACCGTTTGGACTATTTCAACGCATGGCTGGAGATGAACTCTTCTGGGAAAGAGGAGCGCTCTTTAGCGAGACAAAAAATATATTTATATACATATATATATATAAATATATAAACCTTCAAAGAACTTCTGTCACAGCTCTGTAAATGCAACACCTTTTCCATCAAAGGCTTCACCCTCTCGGCTGCAGGACAAGAAAGCGGCCAGCAGCGCAAAGCCTGGTGCCATCGAGGACCAATGAGCTTTAGACTGCACTCCTTTTTGGTTCAAATCGGAGTAGAAAAGGAGTGCGTTCAAAGTAGCGAGAGTTATTTAAAAAAACAGGTGTGCACATGTAACATCTTTACTTCAACACAGGAGTTGAAGCGCAAGGCCAGCTCGGTGAGAGAAGCTCTTGAGGCTGGCATGGATGATGCTTGCAATGGGTTACGCCAGAAGAGGGTCCGCGCACAAGCTCCTATCCTCGAAGTCCCCATCAACGCGGATAAGGTTTCTACTTCATCCAAACCTTGTGATGCGATGGCCCAAACCGCCAATTGCCTGAACTTAAGGAAGCAAAGAGTTGGTTCATTCAACGCTCATGCGACCCTTCCCCCTCGCATTTTTCAGGTGAGTGGCATCAAGAAGGCGAAGAAGGCGTCCAAGGAAGCGGACCCAGGGCCTGCCGCGACCAGTCACATGTTCAAGTCCTACGACGTCCGCGCTTTGGGTGTACCCAGGGAAGCCTGGCCCATTGCAGACAAAACCTACACTGGCATGCATGGGTACACTCTGGTTTCTCCAAACAATGCTGCCCCTTGTTTCAATGAGCCTATAGGTCCAGGTGTCTACTTGCCTTGTCGTCAGAAGAAAACAATTTTGCGATGTATCGCGTCTCATGTTGTCGAGGCTGTGGAGGTCTTGGTGCGCAACGCCGCCTATGTGGTAAAGCGCATAGGTGGTGGCGATGAAGGTGCACCTAAGGACTGTTGCCGTGGACAGCTGAATTGGAAGAAATTCGGGGGTCCAGGCCCTGCGTGGGAGGTAGCGAAGAAGAAGGCAAACTTCAAATGAGTTTTGCTTCTAGATCACTAGATCAGATCTTTTGGGGTATTTGAGCTCATACCAGCTCATGCTGTGCCATATGTGGCTAGGGCAGTGTGTAAATTCTCACACTGTATCTGCGTGTGGGCAATCTTGGGCTGTGCTATGGCCTAGGGTCTAGCGGAACTGCTGGACTACGTAGGATTCATTTCGAAGGGGTTGAAAGGAAAAAGGCAAGCTCCTTCAAGACCAGTCAAGTGGCCAAGTGGTGCTCAGAGTGCTCACACCAATTGCCAGCGAATCCCCAGCTGCTCCAGGTACATGGAGAAGGACTTTTACCTTGGCCGGATCGTTGAGAACACAGGCCCTTGGGATGCACTTTGGGCGTCCTCAATCCCTGCGCCAAAGGAACATCCTTTTATTTATCTTTTCGAAACAACAAGATGTAAGTTGGGGGGATTGCCAATGGCCCCAGCCTTGCAAATTTCCACTTTGGTTGACTTTGGTTGGGCCATGAAATCGGACCCCCCCAAGGGGGGCCGTTTCCATGACCCAATCTTTGCCTTTCTACCTGTGAGGTGGGGAATCAAGGAGGAGCTTCTCTTTGAGTTCGAGGCGCAACAAAATGCACGCCAAGCTAGAGTCAAACAATGAAAGCGGGGCTTCGCCGATGTCTTTAATAAGAATGAATCACATGGATATTTACATGAAAGCACTTTCCATGAAAGGTCTTGGCTGCACTTTCGTGGTACTTTACATGAAAGCACCTTTGGGTATTCACAGACGCTCAACCAGGTCATTTCTGCACTGCTTCAAAACGACCATCTTCGTTGACCAGGCTTGGATCCTTTTGAACTTTGAAGAGTTGGGCGAGGGTATTGATTTCTAGCCTTCAATGTTGAACCGTCTTTGTGGAAACCACTAGTCACCTTCCCGCCATGCTCAAAGCTAAGCGTCAGGATGTCACTCCCTTCAGCCAACACGCCAGGCCCATCTTCGGGAACGCTGCCAGCTTCGCATCGACGAGGCCATCCGAAGACTGCCGCCTTCAGCGGACTGTTGAGCGCGTGCGAACACATACACAGTGTACCTGGACCCTTTGAAGAGTTTGAGGCTCCAAGGCTTCAAGTCAATAGGTGCTAGAGTATTAGTTGCTCGACCCCATGGTGAGATTCACAAAGTTTCAACCTTTCATGCCGGGCGATAAGAAATCGCAGAAAGTGGAGAAAGCTCATGGCCAGAGGCAAATGCCCATGACTGTTTCCAGGGAGGCTTCTTTGGAATCCATGAAGGATCGTCAGCGCGCCTGGACAATGGCAGGCTTGCGGTACACGCAGGCTCCAATCGTAGCTTTCCTCAGCTGTCATCGCATTTTCTAGCTGTTCCCCCCAAGTTTACGAGAACTCTTTGAATGGGATCCTCTCACAGATCTGGTTCTGGAAGCTAGGGGGATTCAATGAACATTGTATTGGGGGACTTCCCAAAAACAAACACTTCGAAACACTACCCTTGCAGTAGCCTAGGTGGTCTTGACCCTGGTGAGCATGATGTTCAACATCGAGGGATTGAACTGGAACTCGCCGATCGACCATTTTGAGACCTTCAGTGGTGGTGGGTCAGTGACCATGGGAGAGGTTGAAGCAGGACGCACCGCAGTGAGCTTCGACATCATCCATGATGAGGTGAAGCAAAGCATGTTGACACGCCCAGGTTTTTGTAACGCCCTTTTTTGGGCTCTGAACCTCAAGCCGGGTGCTGGCAAAGTGACTGCGCCCGTGTGCAGCACATGGGTCTTCATGCCACGTCCTTATCTTGTTAATGCGCAAGTCAAAACACAGGGGACAGGGGGCCTGTTGTCTACATAGCTGAAACCAGTCTCAGTCCACTCCCATTCCAGCTTTAGCCCAGGTCATCCGGCTCCACCAAAAGAAGCCGGACCAATCCTCTTGGAAGTCCTTCAAGCCCGGCTTGCCAGGAAGCTAATGTTATGCTTTGTCGCCTCCTGATCTTGTTGATGGTTTGCTCAGCCAAAGGGTGCTGGTGGGTACTGGAACAACCAGCATCTTCAGTGATGCCCTACCATCCTCTTTTCCAGAAGTTCTTACAGCTCCGAGGGATTGCAGTGAGGAAACTTTACACTTGCGTGGGCTGGTTCGGGGCGCCGTCCCTCAAGCCAACACATTTGTTCAGTAGTTTCCAGGCTGCAATTGTAATCGATTCATATTTCTGAAGTTGGGGCGACTCACATGATACCCTCAATCTGCTTCCAAACCCTTACATCTAAAAAACAAACGCCCCAAAAGCTAAGTACAGGAATGCGCAACCCTCCACTGAGGCCACATTGAGATTGAAGATTTGAACAGCCTTGCTCGCAAGAACTTTGTTCCTCGACAAGTCGAGAATGTTGTGCACTACGTTGATTCCCAAGGAAAGCCCAGAATCTGCGGAGGCCGCCACCTCAAGTCCTCCCAGACTTACCCAAGAAGGAGCCTTGTTTTCAATTAGGAGGAGTACATTTTCTTTCCCACAACCCTCGGGGAAGATCATTTGTAAGGCATCCAAACATATCCAAACACTGTATCGCACCAACTCTTCCCATGCCTTGCCGCCCAGATTCGGTCGGGCACTAGCGACCATCCGGACCAGCAATCGCAGAGCAGTGCAGAAGAAGGCCAAGGCTTTCCTCAAGAAGGCAATGACTGCCAAGACCAGCGCTGCAGATTGCCGACCCAGGATCAACAACCAGTGGATTGAGGGAGCTGACTTGAAGCCAGTTTTCACATACCTATCGGTGTAGCGCAGCAATATGTGGTGCTACTTTTCTGGGGATCTGTGATTTGCAGTTGGAGGGAAATTCACATACCAACTGCATCATGGTAGCTAGTTTTACAAGCGAAAGCTTCAAGCCGCCTGGGAAGGAAAAAACTCACTGCTTTGTTTTCGAAGCACCAATTCTCGGCCTCACCTCTTTCATTGTTTAGAGTTCAGTCTGCCCAGTGCCTTGTCTACCTGCCTCACCTTGGCCCCACTGCTCCTAAGCCAAAAAACCATCGCCTGCTCAGCCAAGTGGCCAGGCCAATGCCTCGGCTGCATATGAAGAGGCCATCACAAGGCCTGGAGAGCCGGGAGGTGCCGGTAGCTTTTCCCTTTCTTTCTGAGAGGAACCAGGGAGCCTTTTGCAAAGAATAAGAAAACCAAAAAACCGAATGAAAATCACACCATTTGGGTTCCAGATTCTGATGCGAAATGCCGAGAATTCTGATGCGAAAAACCGAGAAATGATGCGAATTGTATCTCCCGTGAAGCTCACATGGTTCACAGCTTGCTGCAAACTATCATGGCGCTGAGTGAAGTCCGCAAAAGCGCTTTGAAGAACAAAGACCGCTCAAAGGGGTCTGGGAATGGGACAGCTACCAGGTCAGCTTCTGAGGTGAAGGGCAAGAAAGACAAAGCCCAAAAGAAGGAAAAGAAAGAGAAGAAACTGCAGAAGGATCCACCTAAAGCAGAGAAACCTAAGGTGTCAAAGGAAGCCAAGAGCAAAGAGAAGGAGAAAGGAAAAGACAAGAAAGGAAAGGAGGGTAAGGGAGCCACTCCTGCAGGGATTTCGACACCTCCAACAAGGAGGCATTCAGTCAAGAGCCCGCCCCAAGAATCGCCGATCAGATCAGAGCAGGAAAAAGAAACTGATGCCAAAATGGAAAAGCTTCTGCGCGCTCAGGCTGCAGCTGAGAAGGCCATGCAAGAGAAAGGGGACATGGCAGCGTTGTGTGAAGATGTTCCAGGGGAAGCATCCGATGAGGAGCGCGAAGAGGAGGGTGATATTGCAGCGGAGCTGATGTCTGAGCTTGATGACAGCCTAAAGAAGCAAGCAACACAGAAGGGCGAGAGTGAAGAAGAGGAGGAAAAGGACAATGAGAAAGACAAAGAGGACGAGGGTGATGAGGGCACTGATACTTCTGAAGAGTCAAGCCAAGAAGAGGATGACGATGAGTCTGAGGCATCAACCACAGCAACACAGTCTTGTGGAGAGGATTGCAGTGAGGACGATGGTAGCTCAAGTGATGAAGAGCGTGAATCAGACGAGGGGGAGGAGGATGATGAGGAGGAGAATGCGAAGAGAAAGCCCAAGGTGAGCTTCAATGAAGATGTAAAGAAAATTCCTGCAGTCAAGGAGAAAGGCACAAAAGAAAAAGATAAGGATGACAAGAAGAGGAAAAAAGCAGACCGCGAAGAGGATTCCAAGACTGAAGAGGCGGTTGAAGATGCCAAGAAGAAGAATACCAAAAAGGGAGGTTCGAAGGAAACAGAGACAGCAGAAGAACGCAAGAGCAAGAAGAGCAAGAAGGCAGATTCCAAGGATGAAGAGCCAGCTGAAGAAAACAAGAAGAAGA